GCGCTCGGTTATGGCTCGGTCTTCTGTTCTGAGTAACTCTGATTTGAAAAAAAAACTAATCGCCGCGATCCCTCCGACACAACTTGTTGCTGTGAGAGATGTGAGCGCTGATATCGAATTGTGGGATCTCGTCGATCCATCTACCGGTCCATCTACGGACCGTAACTGGCCGTCGTCGGCTCCGTCATACTCGAATAAGGGTTCGAATCTAGTCAGTCAGGCGAACGGCCGGTCGAGCAGCCGGCAACGCAGCCCAACACGCCCAACCTATGCGGGTGCCCATATGGCACCGAAGAGGTCCGCTGGTCAACATTTCTGGAAGCGTGACACCTCAGGACAGTTGCAGCTGTGTCTGAAACCCCGAGCTTACGCGGATACCGATGAGCCCATTCGTTGCTGCAGCATTCGCCCGATTAAAGATCAAGCATCATGAGTTGAAGCCCAATAGTCCTCCCCTTCTGATGGGGGAATTTAATCAATCGACTTCGCTTGACGTCCGTAAAAGATTCATCGAACATCAGAAAATGCAATCAATGAGATATCATTCCTTCATCTCTAATTACGACTATGGAGCCTATTCTGGATCTGCCATAAAATTGAATCGAAAACTCCATCGATCGACAAATCTCTAAGTCGATTAGAATCGGGTCCTGATTATTCCTAATTATTATCGTCGTGTCCTAATACCAGGGCTAATGCAGGGAGCAGAGATTCTGCGGACAAGGATCCTGCGGGCTGATTCTGTGGCACCCCGACCGCTTCAAACGTACGTACCGTCAGACGTACCGGGCGCTCGTGTACGATCGTTGTACCTGTTGTGTCACGGCGTGACTTTCGGGTATAGTAACGAAGTGAGTTGCGGCCAGTTGTCGAAACGGACCGTAATCACGGCGGTGGTGCTGATGATGACGGCGTTGATGATTGTCATAACGCCATTACCATAATTCGTACTTGAAGCTTTACGGCGTAGACGTGATCAGATAATTTCGCTCGAGTGCAAGATCCGCACCCATTCTGCTCGGCCCTCCGTTCGTCGGCTCGCTCGCTTATTTCTTCGTTAGTTCGCTCGTTGGACGGCTTCGCCAGCTTACCGGTTGTTCAGAGAGTTGACGACGTTTGGGGAATTTCATCGTAGCTTCATCGGCTAATTTTGAGCTAGATTCATGGCCTGCCTGACTAGCTGCCAGGCTGCCTCGGTGACTTTCCGCTGCGAGCTCCTTTGAGGTTAAATAGTTGTTAATTCTTAACACCACCACCTCGGAGCCTCACGCATTCTCGCTCGTTTCGAAGTCAGCTATCATCTGGCTATCTGGCTATCTACCTACTTTCCCGCCTTCTCCCTCCGAATGTATCAAGCGCGCCCGCCCTTGTCTTTTTTTTCTCTGATGCATCTGGGGCATCAGGAGGTACCCCACAGGTGCCGCTCGAGGTCCGAACATTTTGTACTGGGCAGACTTTGGCGCTGAAAGTAGCCCCTTTGAAGTTGACTGAAGTCTTGTTAGACTCTTAATCCGCTCCTGCTGCCGCTGCGTCATCGCGCGCACTTTCCTCCTCTCCCAACGTTTTTGGTTTCATGCTTCGGAAAGGGTTCGGTTTTTGTCAGAATTTTTTCAACGGAGCTCAAGCCCTGAGATCAGTTTTCATTTTCCGACCGCTCCCGGGTTCATCGCGAGAAACTCCGAGCACAGACAAAATATCCAGTTCGGAGCTCCGAAGTGGACAAAAAGTTCCCAAGACGGCCGACCTAGCGATACTTTGTTTGATTCGAATAAAATTAAGTATTCGTGGGGGACGTCGGTGGCGCGGGCGTTGACGGCGACGTCACAGCGTGCGGGGACCGTGCGCCATGACTGACACTCGTGCTTCGTGATGCCCACGGCCCATGCTTGACTTTCGGATCTCATGCTTCGCTGCTGAAGCTTTCTATCGATTTTGGCATGGGAAAACGCCGGCTCTCACCTGGTCTGTCACCGCTTTCCCTGACTACCTACTCTGCACGGTTGCCACCCCGGAGAGCGCCCCCTACCCCCCAACCCTGAGTTCGAGCGAGCCCCTTTTTTGAGTTTATTTGACCGTGGAAAAACTTGTGTCTTGAGAAACCCGCCATCAGGCCAGCGGCAGCCCCGCTGCATGGGTGACTTCGAATCGTTTGATCCCCGAGCCGTAACACAGAGTCGTAATCGACCGATTGGATAGAACCGTCAGCGGCAGACGACATCGGTGGCAGTTGTTTCGAACTGTCTGAAATGACGATGGACACACGAACGTTGAATCGATCATTCCCGACCCGACCAAGCAGATGCTTTGATTGAGATATGCATCGGAGTCAGCGATGAACGTCCACGATTCGCTTTCTTGATCGAGCTCCTCATTAGAATTTCAAAGTTTCATAAACCGTCGTCTCTTCGGACACATTGTCGTCGTCGACGTCGCCCAGAATCTAGGTCTCACAAGGTCCAGTGGCTATTATGCAAAAGTTGGAGAGGGGTGCAGAGCTTCGCTCGGGATTTTTCCCAACGGCTTTCGTCGGAGAAATTCGCGTCGGGTACGGTGTTCACTCGTCAATTGCCTGCTCTTTCTGTACCTACTTACCTACCTACCTTCCGACCGACCGAACCGCTCGGAATGCTCGATCTTGGACCTCCACGTCGCCTCACGAACGGCATCGGAGCGCACCATCATCGGTGCCCTATGACGAAAGGGAGAGGAGAACTCACGGTACGAGACGAAATGAAAAAAAACGGGAGACAACGCGCGTCTTCGACAACCAGACCGACTGCGGAAGCTTCTGCGTATTGTGGTAGACGTCGTGATTACAAATCAGATCGCGAAACGGCGCTTTCAATTGCGAGCGAGTTCGAAGTTTCGACTTTTACGACCAATCCATGCCGGGCAGATGGATCGGTCGCTCTATGCTCCGGCCAACGAATCTGCGAATCATCGTCGTGATATACTGCACCTACTTCACACCGCTCGTCTGTCGTTTAGCGACGGAAAAAAGTCAATAAAACTGGGTTCGAAAAAGAGGAAATACGCGTCGTTTGCGTCGCGTATTTCCCCAGTATGCGGTAGATTTCTGGCAGATCTTCCCGTGCGGAATATCTAACATGAGGTGATATCCGGAATAACTGTGACCGGAATTCGACCCGTACCATTGCGTGAAAACAATATATGGATGTAAATAGATCATCCGGGACCGGCCCACGCACCAGCGCGGGAGGCTGCGACGCTCCGGAAGACGCTCTGGAACTGGGATTCGGAGCCGACGACGGACCAAGGGACGGCCAACCGGACGAAGGGATGGAGGAGGCCTTGTTGTCTTGTAAACAACACTCCGAGACAAATTCTCACGGTTTCCGGGCGCATTCTGGCAGAGTTAGCCTAGTAAACGGATAAGTGAGTGAGTGTAGGAGCGAACGAGCCCGCCAACGATCGGCAGTGACAGGTCGTGCTCGTTTGACTTGTGTGCGAAAATGGAGAAGAAACGATTCTCTCGTTCAGCCAATTTGCAATGGATTACAGTAGGGCGTTCCCTCCCACCACTCAGGAGGCGATCACGGCTCTTTTTCCTCGAGCGAATTTCATCCCTTCTCTAAGAGTGAATGTGTGAGTGCCCGCCTGTGGAAACTCCGTTCAGGCCGGAGGCGATTCTGCGATTTCCCCGCGGATCCCTTTCCTCCTCACTCCCCGCTCTCATCCTGCACGAGTCTCGATCTCGTCGTTTTCCACCTGTGCGTTCGGTCGCATGACGTTTCGGAACGGCCTATTCGTCTTTTTCCCACGATGTCGCTGAGAATCCTCTGTGTGTTGCTAATCCTCGGGAAATGTCTGTAATCAAAAGATGAGCCAACAATCAAATCAGAACTTGGTGACAGGGATGAAGTCGGCGGATATTTTCGCGCCGGGGATTCTGACAGCCCGCCGGATTGAAAGGAAATTCCGATGGCGGAGCGTGAAACTTCACAAAGTCAAAATGAAGAAACGGTTTTGTTCAGCTCTGAATCGAGCTCATGGTTTCGTTACGACGCTGCTATCGGCTATTTGGGGCCCTCGACACGCTATTCGTCGCTTAATCGAGAATCCCGCTCGTCTGCTGCAAGTGATGTTGTGTCTGACGCGAGGCTTGGAAGCGTTCAAGGCCGCGACTAATTCTTTGTTTCTTTTTGGAAGAATAACTTCATCTTCCTGTTTGTGATAGCTCCAGGTCGTTGCCAATCTGTTGTTCGAGACAACATGTGTTTCCTTTCGAGGCGTGAACTGCGCTTCTCAAAACTCGGAGGCGATTTCACCGGTGAGCGGTCTCGCACGAACTTCCCGGATTCATCGAAATTACTCAAGACTGAGCGCTTCGTGATCTCTATTTCGCCTGCCCCCCATTCTTCTCCTCCCCCTCTAGCGAGTGGCTAGTTCGCTCAGGATCGTCAATGATGTCATCGGATTAAATTATTCTGCCGTATGACTCGTTGATCTGGTCTCGGTGCTCCCGGCCGACTCTACCTACCCCTAGTAATGGAGGAGCGACCGGGCCTCAAAGTTCATTCGGAGTCCGACATTCGAGTCGAATAGTTCCAAAAAGCGACCCAAACAGCACCGTCGAACTATGACGACCGAGTCACCGTTCGATGATCCAGATGCTACTGCCTATGCCGCTGTAGGAGTGATCCGCACTCGAGCAGATCATTAGAGGGTGGCTGTCGTTTCCCTTCTTCCTTTCTCCTACCACTACCGCCGCTCCAAATGACTGTTCGTGTCCCCACGAATCGCTCACATGGTCAGGCACGTGCACGTAAGCCTCCCGAAATTCAACGGTGGGGTGGGCATGTGCACAGACGATTTCAACTCCGACCTGAACACAGCGTTGCATGTGGGATCGATAATCGATTAAAATACTCGAGGGTCAAGACTCGTGAGGAATGTACCTAGTCGAATGGGGCGGCCAATAGTGATTCCAAACGGATCGACTTTGCAGTAACCTGCTACCGGATGGATTCTTACGCTTGATGTCACGAGATCGGTCGATGTTGAACTGTGGACACGTGGGTAATTCATCATTGTTTTCTTCCCTTGCAGACAATCTTCCAAAAATCACGGAGCACCCATCGGACGTTGTCGCTCTCCGTGATGATCCGGCCCAGATGAACTGTGGGGCAGAAGGGTCCCAGCAGGTGAATTGGTATCACAAAGGCAAACTGGTGAAAAACCACGGCGGCAGCACGGTTTCTGGAGGGACTCTGTTCTTCTTGTCCGTTTCCCATCAGGACACCGGAGTTTATTGGTGTGAGGCCGTTAACAAAGCTGGAACCACTCGCAGCAGGAACGCCACCCTGAGCATCGCATGTGAGTACGGCCGAGTCCATGAGGTTGAAGGAGTCTCGAGGGGGAACAGCGAACAGAAATCCCTATTGATCGCGACGGAGGGTGACATGTCATCCGTCCATCTCGGGGATTCCAGTGGCGAATCTGACGAAACTTTATTCTCTCAACCATCCAGATCTCCGAGAAGAGTTCAAAGTCACTCCTTCTGATGTGGGAACAGCTCTCGGCGAAACAGCGGTGCTCCGATGCGAGCCGCCTGCTGGAGTGCCAAAACCAACGGTCGTGTGGCTTAAAGAAGGATTACCGGTGAGTTCATTCCAGAGTCAGTCACTTGCCGGAGTTTATAAAAATTAATAATCAGCTGGAGAGACCGCCGACTCAGTTTCTTCGTTTTTTTTGGTGGTCTCACAGCGAACTCGGAGGGTAGGGATGAATTCTTTCATCTTCTAATTCCTTAATGAAGAGTATGGTCGTGGAGAGTGCTTTCGGGCGGCTTTCCCGAAAAGTGCCACCGGTAAACGGTAGCGGCGAGGAGTAGAGGAACCGCGCGGGGAAAACAGATCGGCTCGAAAACCGAGAAATCGAGCGAGAAGAACACCCTCGTTGTGTTTGACAGAGAAACCGTGAAACAGTGGGAGCTGTTCTGTGGTCGTCATCTTCGTTGTCTGTGTTCCGGCATGCTTGACTGCTGGCCAGTCCCCTCCGTAGACGACCATTGGGTTAGCGGAGAGCCGTCGTCGTGCGATTCTGGCGCCCGCGTTTCGCATGCTTCTCCTGTCCGTTATAGTCCGTCGATGTTGAACAAGAACGACACGAGAGTAGACGATCCGAGGAGAGAAAAAGGCGACGTAAAAGATGAGGCGACCGCTGGTGTCTACGGAGAATGCTGTTGTCGGTGATGTTGTTGTTGTCACCCAGCAGACAGACAGGACAGCTGGAGTTTTTCAGAAAGCTCGCTCGATTCGTCTGTATGCATAAAAATATCTCTGAACAAGCGCCGCCGTCACCGGCGGTAATCTCGGACTAGGTGCTCTCGATGCCTCAGACCCCGCTGGTGCTTGGTGCTGCGCACCGCGGGAGCACCTGTTGGTTTGAATCTCGATATGAGTTGGATCCGTGGCGCTTTTGAGTTCAGACCGGACCCTTTGCCTCGGCCGAGTAGCTCGCTCAGGTCCATCCTTCTCCTCGCCTTTTGTTCTGGGAGCAACTCCAGGCAGAGCGACGAGGAGAGTCGGCCGAGCCTTGTTCCAAGTTCACGTTATATGTACTCGACATCATTTATAACATATAACCGATCCAAAGTATCAGATGGCGCGATCTGTGATAAATTCGCACGTGTCCCCGAGCGAAACTAGACTCCCACTTTATTAGGTCGGTCGACGCTTTTTCCGAAGGATCGTCCGCCTTAGCACGTTGGACAACAACGCTCAAGACGATCTGTCAGAACGCTTTGTCGCAGCGGCTCTGTCTCCCACCGAGTCTAGGATAGCAAGTTCGCCGAGACCGAAGCGTGTAGGTATGCGGTTGCAGCGATCGGTGAAGACGCCATGCTGAGGTTCGTCCGACATCTTTTTTGTCGCAGTCGATGCGGTGAGAGATGCCGTGACTGACGCTGCTGATTTCCGACGTGCTTCAGAGTTAGCGCGGCGATGCGATAATTTCGCTCCTTAGAAATTGGAGACTTCCTGGGATATTACGTCTTCACTGAGGTCGTCGATCCTACGAAATCCGGACGTTTCGGAATATCCATGCTCATGAACAATCCCACCGAGCAGAGGCTCCCAACGATATCGTTGGGGTTCTCGGTCTTCCTTCTGCTCCAGAGGAAGAGTTTTTCGACGACAAGCGAATCCAATAGCCTCGCTCCCGCTGAGATCAAGTTCCTCGACCGGTAACCGGCTGCCGAATCGTTCGGCGCGCACCGAGCGGCAGGCCGACTGATTGATTGATGAGTTTATTGGCTCAACAGATATCGAACAAACAAGCAAATAACACTCGTTCTTTGGAGAGACAGAGATTCTGTCACTCTCCCTCCCTGTGTCCGTTTGCCTTCCGATATTGAGCGTGCTCTTCATCAGCGAGATCGAGTCCATGATCGGCGTGCCGAGGCGGATCGATTCATTTGCGAACGCGAACATCATTATGATGAGATTCCAAGCCGCGGTTTAGACATTCGACTTTCGTTTACTCTCCGATAAGCCTCCAGAGGAGCCTCTCATAGAGAGCGAGAGCCGACGCGAATCTCAAGGTGTCGATTGTCACTCGCAGCTGATGGCAGTCTCGCTCCGAAAAATTGACTCATTTAACTTATTTAGCGGTCAACTCATTTCTTGTTTTGAATTCGACTTATTCATAGTTCACCAGACTGAATTCGATAAACTCGTTTTCCAGGTTAATGTCGGTACCGGAAAGAGCCGATTACGACTGCTCGACGACACCGGAGCGCTCTTCATTCAGGATGTGAGACTCTCGGATCAGGGATCTTATGTATGTAAAGCGGACAACATCGTTGGGACCCGGGAAACCACTCCGGCGAGACTACGAGTGCTAAGTGAGTTTTCTATCGAGAGCTACTAGTTATGTAATTAGTTGATCATCGCATCCTGTCTGTCTCCTAGCCCACAGTCAAGGTGCTTGTCGAAGCGGGAAGCGTTGTTGTTTTAGTTGTTGTGTGGGGTTGTTGTTGCTTAAGATGTTTAGATTTGAAGACGTGGAGAAACTCAGTTGCGAAAAGTCGTTCCAAGAACGTCACTCACGTGAGTCGTCTACGAGATTAAAACTCGAAGAAGCCACCGCTTGCGGTAGCCTTCCGTGTGGTTCACGATAACTCGGTGTCGAGCTGCTCATGTCGCCGTCGTCGAACACTCCGAAGCTGTTTGTGGAATTCCTCCCTTGTCGGTCGGAACAGAAGAAAGCGACGACGTTAAGGCTGCTACGGATGCTCACTTGCTCTAACGGCTATGTTTGTTTAGATTTTTCGACACAACTCGCTTGTGAGACAGACACATTGATCCTTTTACGGGCCGAGTCGTTCCTAGTCAAGTGTTCCTATTCCATAAACAAATCTACACCAGATCCAGCTCGCCATCCTCGCCGTGGGGATTTGACCGCGAGTCGGAGCACCCGCCAAAATAATGAGCGCCCAAGGAAAAGTTTACGATAGCGAACATCGATTCTGAAATTTCTCGGAAACGTCACGATCGGTGAATCCATTCGGAGAGCGAAACGAGTTTCCCGACTTGGAATATTTCCATAAGAGCTCCAGTATTTCGGTTTCCGATGATCGGGAACATCTCGGCGTCGAGCGAGCGAGCACTGCACAACTGTAGTAATCGCTGTCCACCGCAGTTGGCAGCGAAAACAGACAGAAAACGACGCGATGATGACGTCGTCGACGTCGGTCAGGGAGCTCCGAACGATGGTCGTCGCCATCACATTAATTGGACGCATAGATACATAGGTCCGGATAGCCGCGCGTCGGATGACGGTTTCCTCGCTAAACTGGGTTTCAACTCGAGGAGTTCTGGATCCCGTTCCTCAAGATGATGCTCAATTGATGCCTTTTGAGGGCTCGTGCTCCGGCGACGTGACCGTTCTGAAGCCGAGCAGAGATAAGCCGCAAGGGAGCTAGGAGAGATTATCACGGTGGCTTGGGTCGTCGTGGACGACGTGTCGAACATGATCGGTCAGAACTATTTTGCTCCAACCTTTTCTCCCTCGACCTCTCCGAGTCGTAGAGACACGGAGCCCTTTTTTTCATGCTGGAGGACAATTTTCTTCGTTTCCATTCAAGGGGACAGGCTTCGTGTGTCGTGGCCGGGTTCTTCATTTTCTGTGAAAATTTCTGCCTGCTTGCTCCGTCTTGCGTAGGAACGAGGGAAGACGCAAGGTTCTGTGCCTCGAAAAACGATCCGTCTTCCTCAGTCGAAGCGCCGAACAGTTAGTCACTGATTCCGCGTGAGAGTCGCATCGCTCAGAAACGTTTCACGGTAGCCATGGATGCCACGCTGGACGGCGAGATGGAGAGGAAGTTAACAGGAAAAAATAAAATGCTGTTCTCCCTGCAACCGATGAGAGGGAAGCAGGTGGCACGTAGGAAGCAACAGAAAGAGAAGAAGCAGAGGAGAGTTTTGTGTTCGTCGATGTTGCTGGCGACGGCTACTTCAGCAGCGACTCCCGCTGCTGCCGCCGTTGATCGAAGTGTGACGATCTCATTAATCTCTAAACGAAAATCTAAAAGCTCCGAAGAGCGATTCGTCTCCTTCGTACGATCATGTCATGCTAACTGTTACCGCCGCGGTTGATTCTGCGATTTTTCTTGCTGTTCCGAGGCACTCGTAAGTCGCCAGAGTTCGCGTCGGCATTCCTGGTTCAGGTTCCCGACAGAAGCGTCGGAACCCGTTCTGAATTGAAACTTCGTCTCCGTTGTTCTCGGATTGCATTGAAAGCGGCGCAGCATTGTTGATACCGCAACGGCGGATCGCGTCAAGATCTCGGCGCCGAAATTGGTTAGGCCACTGAAAGTCTATCATGTCGTCCCACACAAGATCTGCAAGGTGGCCCCTAATCCAATGCCTCCGTTTTTTTGAGGTCTCTTCAATCTCGCCTCTTCGTTCCTCTTCAGCGTGTTCTTCGTTTAATCGTCGCGCTCGACCCGGAGAGCCGAGGCGCCGATGAAAACGGCGGGCAAATAAATAACGTTGAAATCTCGAGAACGGCCTTTAGAACCCTTAAGGACCGGGAATGATGAAAAACGCTGTAGGGGCGGAGAGGGAATAATTCGAAGGGAAAAAGCGTCTCGAGACGTTTTTCAGAGGACGCATTCTTTGAAAGTAGGTGAAGAGACCCGGAGGAGTTCGCCGGGCGATAGACGGGCGGAATTCGAGGAGCAGGATTGGAGCAGGAGAAGGAATAGAGCGTTCACGGAGCATTGACAAGCATCTGGCCGACAGATGTCTGACTGAATTTAAGTCCACGGACGTTCCGGTGAATTTAGTTGGATGAGCAGGGGATTTGTCGAATCATGAGCGCCGCTTGTCTTCCCGCGGAGCAGTATCATGCGCCGTCACCATCTGCAAACACCGCACGCCGCCGTAGAATTCACGTGTCCGATGTCTGCTCGTTCATCAACTCGAGACGTATCGAGACCGTATCGAGAACCAGATTAGATTCTATGGATTTTTGAGCCCCGCTCATGCCTCAGTGTCTTAACAGGTTCAGTCGTTGCTAATCTGGTCGTGTTTTGAAGTTGATTATTTTTCCCCTCCTTCTCAAGCCGTCTGAAGATGCGGCCAGTAAACTCAAGGAGTTTACTGGCATAAACCCCCCGAGCGACGATCGATGGATCACCGGTGCTAACCTCGTCGAGCCTCGATCGATCCCGCGGCAAAGAGCTGCTAATTCCTGATTGCCCCGCTGTGCCCCGTTGCTTTGCCGGCCGTCATGGGGTCGTAGGTTCGGTACGGTCCGATGTTATCGGACCTGGCGTTTTATGACTCCGACGAGTGAGACAACTGAGATAGGTATCTGCTTGACAAGCAAGGGCTCAGGAGGTGTTCCTATCGAGAACAAATGAACAAACAAAAAGAAAACAGCTCCTCCGAGGCAAGAGGACTTGACGATTTGGCGAAGCTGGACAGTACCTCACCGTCCGCGTTTCTCGGATAGTTGAGGAGAATAAAAAGAAAAGTCGTCGTTCGCTTTATACGTACTGCTCTGCGTCTTCGATTTCAATCTCTGCTCGCGGAGCGAGCTGCGCCGGTCGTAGTTGTCCAGTTTGAAAAATGTTCTGAAAGCTCTCGTTGCCGCTCGGCTCCACGGGCGTCATGGCCCGGTCACCGGAGTCGACGTGAGTGCTGCACAAACAAGCGACTATTTTTCATTTCGATTGTTGTATGATATTCTTTCTGGAGACTCCCGAGCCGGATCGATTCGGTACTTTTCCGAATTCAGCTTGGTTCTCAGAAGTCCCGACCTGGATGGAAACTTTTTCCCCTGGCTTTTTGTGCTCTCCGAGAAATCACTCGGCTAATTATCTCATTTTGATTGAATAAATATCACTCTTTCATCGAGAATTGAAGCATCACATCGAGCCTTCCCGACATCCACGATTGAAGGTTCGACCCCCGGTCGCTACGCGTGAAGGTCGCAGCTCTGATGAGCCTTCCCGGACTTGGGTCTTCTCTCGAGAGAATGAACCCCATGGTGAGCCCTTCCCACGAGTGCTCAAAAACTTCTTTAGTCATCGATCTCGTCGGATCGGATACTACGAAATGATTATGATGTCGAATCAAGAGTCTTCTCAAGGTTGTTCTCAGCGCAAAGGGTGGAGCAAGTGCGAAGACGAATTAATTCACCGGAAGGCGCGTCGCGTCCGGCGACTAAGAAACAAAGTTCTCGGGTTGCCGGTGGCTCTAAAAACTGAAAGCACGCCTTCGAGGCGATACTCCGCTTTAATCGTAGGGCCGAGTGAGTCATATTTCCTCGGAGTTTCTCTCCCGGCATCGATCTTCCTCGATCGTTTCTCTTGCGTGTGTCACAATTCGAAATATCCGCCTCGATTCTCGGTCCGTGCTGGATCCCGAGAACTCGAGATTCGGAATCTTGTTTATTCAGTCCATAACAAGCGACACACATAGCTTCGCTTACGACGAAGCTCAGGTCTGGAGGGCCGACTCATGAAGTGCACGCTATCCCTGAACATATTTCTCCGTGAGCCGATCTTTAGCAATGGTGCGAGTTATGCAAATATGTCTGTCTGCGGCCATTGTCGGTCGGTCGCTGCTTCACTTGTCCGTTTCTCAGTCACTTGTCAGTCGATGTTCTCGATCGTCCGCTTGAAGCAGCACTCAGAACAAGTCTGAACACCATTCAGCGAGACATACCGACCCAGCGAGCGAGCGACCGACCGACCGAACGACTGACTGGTAGACTGAGGGTCGGACGTACAGAAAGCGCTCAGACGTGTCCCGTAGACCTCAGAAGCTTTTGTGGGGCATCGATTCATCCCTCGGACGGACGAGCAAGCGAGTCGACGGACGGACGGACGGCGAGCTCAAACAAAGCCGACATGTCAAACATCTTATCGGAGCGCCCACACTTGTTGCTGCTCTTACGTGTCGCCGTCCTGTGCTCGTCGCTGTCTTCGGTGTCCATACACTGTATTTAAGCGTTTCCAAGGGCGTCTCTAATTTACGAGAATGGAATTATTATCTTTCGGTCCCGCCCGTTCATCAGAGCCGACGTTAAGCGAGAAAGACAAGCGCCAGGATTCGAGCGTTGGACGCAGAGGCCCGGGTGCTCACTCTGCTAACGTTCCCTACTTCGAGGTGTTGCGGAGACTTCGGATACGAGGGCGTAATTGAGCTGCTTAAGCTTTCCGTGTAATGCGATGATGATCCGCGCCCAACGCTGGGAATCTGTACCACGGCTCTGAACAATTAAAATGAACAAATTATTTTTCTGTCGGTCACGTATTGTGTGTCGAATTGTTCCGTTGGCTTATGACGCGCTGGACATTTCGAGGGATCAGAGATAAATTTATAATCTCATGATTGAGCAGTAGCGCCTTGAGCTGTCAGATCACGCAAAAGCCGTTCTTTGGAGAAATGCTGAGTCGGTGTAAGGACCGGTGATCGGCTCGGTCCGGCGGAGCTGTCTGCTTGTCTATCGAGACTCACCTTTATTTGTGTAAGTGGCGACGATTATCCATTGGCTCCGCTCGTTGCTGTCGCGGCGGCATCGACGACGAGCATCGGTGGTAGATGTGGCGGCGGTGGTGCTGATGGTGATTCTGCAATTATGTTCTGCTGCGAAACGTACGATGAAATGTACGAACGTCTGCCTTTCGCGAGGCAGCCGGCGCTGTCCACTGCAAAGATGCTGCCCTGTACCCCCCCCCCCCGTATGCTCGAAGCTTTTACGTGAGAGCGGCAGAAAATCGGCCAAACGACGTAATTATTTTTCATGTCCTGAGCCACAGCCCGCCGAATTAGGGGTGCTCGCTCGTCGCGACAACAACGTTTTCGAGCCAGCGACTGTCGGGACAGCAAAACGATGCACTGAGCAATCTATAAATATCTGCCGAAGCCGTTGAACAAGGCAATGACTATGTTCGCGTGCGGATCAGGTAGCGCCGCTGGAAGCTTAACTTGGGCACACAGACGCACACATGGTACAGATGGCCGTTCCGGAGGCGCCCACTGCCGAATGCCGTAGACATAGACCAGCAGCGGACGCATACAAAGGGTTTTGACGAATTCTTATTGAGCTCGGTAACCGATGAAGATGTGAATCGTGGCAACGAGACCGTTGCCGGCTCGAGTCGTAACGGAATAGAAAATCTCCTTCGGAGAGCACACTCCCTCCGATTGGTTGGAACACGAATCCAAGCTCATTGACGATGATCTCGGTGATGACTGGACGTGGATCTGAATAATTAGTCCCGGAGGGTGCTCAGACGCAGCTCGGCTACAATTATTATCATGTATTGAGCTCCATGGTCTTTCTTTCAGGCAAGCCGAATTTCGTCGTCAAGCCCGAGGACGTATCCGTCGTCTCAACGGACCGCACAAATGTCCGCCTTGAGTGCACCGTCGCTGGGGATCCGCAACCGAGCATCCGGTGGACGAAAGACGGGAAACCCCTCGAAGTGTCCTCGAAACTGAAAATCAATTCTAACGGACGTACGGGCGTGTCTTCGATCGTTGAGATAAACGACGTGAGCTCCAGCGATCAGGGCGAATACATCTGCGAGGCTTCGAACGAGGTTGGAACGGTCACCGCATCGGCGAAAGTCAGCATTGAATGTGAGTTCCGATCGGGGCAAGGGGAGAGACGAAGAAGAGGACTCGCGCATACCACGCACCGGCAGAAGTAGTTTCAGGAGAGAAATTCTTTTGGGCGATTCCGAAACGATGTTCGATTATGATTCCAGCTCGTCCGCTGTTCAGACAACGCCCTCTGGACCAACGGATCGCTCTGCACAGCACAGCGACACTACACTGCGCGGCATCGGGCAGTCCGCCGCCGAGCATTTTCTGGAGTCGTGAAGGTTCTCAAGAAGGTCTCATGTTCACCAACAAAACCTACGGACGAATCTCGGTCGATGCTTCGGGTACTCTCACGATCCGTGATGCTCAAAAAGACGACGAGGGATCGTACATTTGTTCGGCCCTATCGTCAATTGGATCAGCGATGTCGAGAGCGCACCTCGAAGTAGCGACGGTCGAAGATCTGCCACCGCCGCTATTGGCTGTCGTTCCGGTAAACCAAACTGTTCCCGAGGGGGAATCGGTGACGTTCCACTGCGAAGGTGCTGGAGCACCTCAGCCGGAGATCCGATGGCTTTTCAATGATAGGGACATTGATGAGGAAGAGGATGATCGTCTCAGCGCTGATGACACTTCGCTCGTTATCCAAGGTATGTGGGACTGTATCACTGTCCGTGCGTTCTTCATTCCAACCGCTCGCTCCTCGAGCCGTCGATATCCGTTTCAGCCCGACGAGGAAGAATCCCACAGATTCCGACATTTCTAATGAAAAACTCAGGGCTCTCGTCGATATATGTAGTGTCGAAATAAGGCAACACATCATTGGAAAAATCTCACGAAACTCTATCGAATGAATTCTAGATGCCGTCGCTGATGACAGTGGGCTGTACACATGCATCGCCTGGGGAGAAAATGGCGAGACACGACGCTCCGCGTCTCTGAAGGTCCTTCACGGTGAGTTAGTGAGCAGTCCTTTTCAGACTTTGTCGTCCGTTCGGTCATTTCTACAATCGCTCGTTCTTTCGGTCGTGCCATCGTCAGCTCTACGGGCGAGCTTAAGGTCTCAATGCGCCTCGTACCTGTCGCTTTATTCTCCGTTCGATACCTCGTCACTGAGGAGCCAACTTTCCGCGATGAGCAAACATCGCGTACCCTCGGGGGACATTCGCTTGAAACCAGAACTGATGAAGCTGTATGCAGATTCGAGAAAAAAATATTCTCGTGCTCGCCGGCACAGACAATTAACGTCGAAGAAAGCTAGTCTGTCTTGGTTACGTGACCTGTTCTCACCCGGGGTCTTCTGTTCCAGAGTCCGGGCTTTTCATACGGGCGCCTCCGCCTTCGCTTCTGCCGGGAGCTCCAGGTCGGCCATCTGTGACCAATGTAGATGACACCTCAATCAGTCTTGTCTGGGATGCCCCGCCAGAAGATAACTCCGATGAGGACGACGTCGAGGGCTATTCTCTTGAATTCTTCAGTCCAGATCTCCGGTCGGGCTGGCTTTTGGCCGCCGAGAAGATCCGCGGAACCAAATATACGCTCACCGGCCTGAGGGCAGAGACTCGTTACTTGTTCGTTGTGAGAGCCCGCAATAGCCACGGTACCGGTAGACCGTCGCCCATATCGAAAGCGGTGAAAACTTCAGGATTCTCGTCGAGTTCTGACGGTCAACAGTTGAGCAAAGTTCGTTCTGAGCTCGCTGAGCTTGAGGTCAAGATCAGGAGCGTCAAAGCGATCAATTCAACTGCGGTCAGCTTGGACTGGACGGTCGTCGGGGATCGTGATCGTTTGGAGGGCTACTACCTTTGGTTCAGGAGCTTGAACCCGGGCATCGATGACGACCGATTCAGCATGGTCACCGTATGGGGCAGCAAGCGGACCCGTTTCGTGCTCCAGGAGCTTTCGAAGTTCACAACCTACGAATTATTCCTGGTGCCTTTCTACAAAACAGTCGAAGGCTCCCCGAGCAACATGAAGAGTGTCAGCACCCTCGAGGACGGTAAGTGATGTCCGGAATTTGTTTTCCGACTCCATTGGATTTTCCACCTCTAGATTCTCTCCCTTACTCATTCGCGTCCGAATTCGCAGCTCCCTCGGCACCCGTAACCGATATTTCGGTGAATGTGGCCAATTCAACGAGTGTCTGGGTACAATGGAGAGAGCCGCCGCCGCACGAGCAGAACGGATATCTGCAGGGCTACAAACTGATTCTTTTGGGCGAACGAGAAACCGCTAATCGCAACGTGCTCACAAACGCTACCCACTTCGTGTTTACGAACCTCGTCGAGAAAATGCGTTATCGCCTACAGATTCTCGCGTTCACGGCGGCGGGCGACGGGCCTCCGAGTCATTTCGTAGGTTTGTCGACGGACGAGGACTTCATCCGAAGTTTAGCTGCCGATGCCAAGGACAAGGAACCGTGGTTGGTTCTTCTGTTGTCGGCGGTGTTGTGTTTCGTGCTGATAACGATCAGTGCAGGGATTCTGTTCTTCCTCTGCAAGCGTCAGAAAGACTTGAAGGCGACCACCGTGTCATCGGTGCCGGTCTCGAAGGGAGGCGACGTCAAGTAAGTGTTGAGTTAATTCCGCTCGTTCGTAAGAAGCTGTCTCAAGTGTTGCCAACATCTTTATCATCGTCGAGTGGTTTTTGTGGCCACTACTACATACTTCCACTACGACCACAGTAGCTAGTGCGATAACTTCCACTGTTATTTCTGCTATTGGTTCGGATGGCGTGGCGCCGCCGCGCCGTCGTCGCGCCGGCTAAATAAAATAGACCACTCAACGACGTATCGCTTCTCTCAGCAGCCTATTCGCCTCGCTCGGTCACCCGGTCCCGGCGCAAAATTGGAGTCAAGTCTACAGCTGTAACGATGCCACCAAGGAGAAAGAGGTTCTCTACGAGAACAAGCTAATGAAAATACTCGACGGTGTCAACTATTGCAGGTATGCTCAAGACTTCGTCAAACTTCGAATATTCTAGACCTGAACCCTTGGGACGGGGAAAACTGCACGCGGAGTGGGTGGAGAGGGGGAAGAAATGTTTTCCCGAAGTCACTGTTTTATTCACACTCTTGCGGTTTCTTCCCGTCTAGTGAATACACGCCTCTGAACCTGCAACGGGAAGAAGGAGAGTACGCAGAGGTTGGTGGTCAGCAGAAACTCAACACTTTCGGAGCATTCCCCGCTTACAACCAGCACGTCCCGTCTTTTCCGGAGCCGTATGCTTCCACTACGATACTTGCGAACCTCCCGCAACATCGACCCAACGAACTTCTGCATAAGGCACAGGCCGGACGTCAATCAGTTCGGTCGGTGACAGGATTGCACCCGTCGCAGGAGTTTGAAGGTCTGCTCCAGGCGCGGAAATCATTCAGCGACGCCAGCAACGGAGACTCCTCGAGTTACAGCAGAAGGAGCGGGGTAAGTTTTCGGAGCTTCAACCGCATTCTTGGGGCCTGCAAAGTCTCTCCGGGGGAATTCATGCTTCCCTGAATCCTGTCTCGGGAGTTGTCGGGAAACGGGGATAGGGAAGGCGAGCCCTTAATCAATGTTTCGATCCATAATTTTGTGTCTCGGTCGTTTCAGAGGTCGAGTAGAAGCAGCGGACGCGTGAGGACGACTGGTCGCGTGGGAGGCTACCAGAGGGGTCTCGCGCTTCAAAACCTCAAAGGTTCGGACAGTACGTCCCTTTCCGAAGACGACTCCACGGGAATGCAATCGTGGGGTAGGAATAGTGGCAGGAACGAGCCGATCTACAATACGGTGCCCGAGGAAGACGTCGACGAACAACGTCGACGGGACGTTCCGATTTCATCGAGAGACGACATCACGGTGCCAACATACAGCCGATCGTTATGTACTCCAGTCACAGCGCGGAAACTTGAGATTTTCGAAAGCAACAGTACCCGCAGCAGATAGGTAGAGTAGAGGGGGGGGATCGCGGAGGGGAATCTGCGATTTGAGGTGGAGTTGTAGATATTAGCCCTCTTACAGCAAGCTGGATAGGAAGGGAGAGAGCTTTGAAAGAAACTGCCCGTTGTACATATATAGGAAACTGACGGTGAAGAATATCGAAGCGTTGACTCGTTAGGAAGTGAACACGATCTCTCTTGTACATACATCTAGTCTGACCGAGTTTCGGACTCACTCAGGAAGCTGGAGCTTCACCGGCTTCGGCTTGAGAATATTTAGTAAATTATCAAACGAAGCATATCGTTTAGTTAACATAGAGTTTGATAGCGGAGCGGCTCAAACTGTCTGATTTGTTCTGCCGCCGCCGACATGACTTGTCGAGTGATTCCCTATCTTTTCCCGAGCCTTCTCCTAGGGTCTGCGACGTACGATGGAACGGTCCTGAGTTAGATGGAGAGGCTGAAAATTACTCCATATGCGGAAAAACTCGCTCGTCAAAATCGGACGGCGGAACCTACTGTGATAGATTTTTCATGTCGGAGGCCGAATCCTCCAACCGAACAAGCACTCACTTACAGAAGCATTGGGTGACTGCTGATGATTTTTTTTCACGCATCATGACTATATGCAGAACCGAACTGTGCCCACGTCCATTCATTATTTGATTTCGTCCTATCGCAGACGCGATAGGCACCTCGACCGTTCGGGTATGGTTCTGAGGTGATCGCACATTTTGTCGCAGAGGTGCATATGAAAGTGAATGCTGGCGTGGAGCTTCGTAAGACTCTTGAGTTGGAGGTTGGATTTAATGGAAATTTTCTCAATGCATGAAGAACTCTGAAGAGTGTTGTAAGTACGGAATCGAGTGAGTGCAGCATATTCAGCATGGTGGAAGATTACTCCGATCCCAGAAAACGGGGGGACGACACCCTGACACAACGGGAGGGAAACAATGAATAAATGTTGATAACATTTACAGTGGAAGTGTGGAAATTAAGTTGTTTTTAATCCTAGCGCGATAGCATCATAAGAGCCGCTTGAAACGCGGGAGTCCCTCATAACGCTGCGCCGACTTTATTCTTCGCTTTCTTTCCATGAAGCTGCCTCCATCAATTAAATTCCTTCTGCGGTGGTTTTTATATGTTCGCACCTCCTTCCTTTTCCGCCTCAAATTTACCAGGATCTAGCGTTTTTGGCGCAACCACGGCGTTCTCGCGCCTATTTGAAGTTGAAGGAGTGGGGATCATATCCGCCAGATTATCCCGAATGGAGTCGGCATCGGGGATGAGAAGTTCACGTTCCCTCCGCTAGAACTGACTCTCCTCCCGAGTACATTTCGGAGGCTCATAACAGATGGATTTGATAGCGACAATGTCGAGGGAAAAGAAGCATGATAGCCTCATGGGAAACTCCGGATGATATGACGACTCTGACGATGATCATGAGAGAATGGACTCGTGGATAGCGCTCCTTTCGTGCGACATCAGGGTCATCGGGATGGTGGCGCGTAGTGGATGCCTTGATCGTGGTTTCCGCGAGTTGGCTCTTGAAGTTCTGAGATTCGAATGCGGAATGTTCAGGAGCCGGGACCGCAGAAGACTGGGAGGGGTAAGAGCCGACGAAAGCATAAAAAATGAGAGGACGCCGATGAAGAGAACAAGCCCGAACCAAAACGCAGGCAGATGTTCGGATTGTAAAACCAGCAGATAACGAAGTTGCTGAGGCTTTGACGATGACTGCCAGGCCGCTGGGTGGTTGGACTGTATTATTCTGTGCCGTCTCGGACCCCGACAAGGATTTACAGACAGACGAACTGACTGACTGACTGACTGATGTCGGATTGACTCACTGACTAGACTGAGCTGAGTGACGGCTGGCCGGTCGCACGAGCGGACGAAAGAGCCGCTCGATCCTGGTCGACTTTCCGTCGGTCTGAATTTGCTCTGCTTTGTTGTATGGCATAGAGCACACGTCACTCATCAGCCGAATCACCAAAGCGTGAGCACTACGGAGCGAGGCGGAACTCCACCTCAGTCCAATAATTGTTTTTTTCGCTTTCTATTTGACTTCTGGGAGTCCCCTATCGGACGATGTGTATCCACGGTGATCAGCTCGAACAAAGGAACGCTCGTCGATCGAGGGGACACGTTTTTTCCACAGGAGCCTCCACACATTCAGTCGCTCGGGTCCGTCGCGAAGGTCGGAGCCCTGAGGTCAGAGTTGTCACAACTCGAGTGGTTTTTCCAAAGACTTCCGATCCGCTGCATCTATCTGTTTGAGATCGACCGCGACTCGTTTGAGTCTGCCTCAATCCACACTTCCGCGGAGATTTCTCAAAAACCCAGAAATTCGCCCAGGAAGTCGATGAGTCGGTTTCCACGTGACTCCTTTTCTATTCTACGAGTGATGCGGTGCCCTTGAGCGGTTTCTCCAAAAACCAATAGGAAAATTTAGCAAGAAATATGCACGTTTCGCCGAAGTCCGAGCGTCGCTTGAACGCACGCGTGCATGCTTGACTGACTACGATGATCGCTGCACATTATCGTCTCTCATAATAAAGCCGAAAACATTGCTGCGGGTCTTCGAATTGAATCGGACATTATGTAGCGGCGATAATGACATTTATTGTCGCCGATCTATAAAAGAGTCGTCCCACACAGGACTTACGGATAAACTAAAGGGGACGCGTACTGCGCGCACGCGAGTCGGCGTTTCCGACAGTTGCATAATTGTATATGGGCTCAGCGCATTCGGCGAATTAGGGAACGGCTCGACCCAGCTCCTCTTGAGCAATTTGTTCGATTGTCTCTCATGTTTCCGAGTAAGCTCGACGAATAGTGGCAAATCGCTCTGTATCAAAGGGTCTGAATGATGTCGACTTCTCGCTTGTCCGGATCGACGCTGTCGTCACCGAATGAACTCGACAAGAAAGATGAATAACAAGACCAGCGCTGGCGGTGCCCGGAATCTTCCAGGAAATTATGTCTGGGCTAGGCTAGCGTTAGGTTCATTCCATATTCTGGCTCCAATACCTGAGAAGGGAGGGGGGGGGGTCGCCGCTCAGGCAATTCGCTACAGAGATTAGTTCGAGCCAGAACTTCGAGCTATTTCTCCGGAATATATGATAGTGAAACTTCATAGGGGACTTTCGCCAGAATCTTCTCGGACTTGGGACTACCAGGTATTTTGAGATCTCGCAACAGTCTCCGATACTTATCATTCGGTCTCGGTCTCCCAGAGATCTCCATTCGCCGATTCGACTCCGATAAATGTCTCTCATTCACCCCTCCTCCTTTAAAAGGCTTCCGGTCTCGGCAAAAACTCGCCAACGATGCAGTCAGAGGAGTACTCTGGTCTGACGACTTAATGAGCTTGAGGCTCATATTAAAGTGTGAAGCTATTAAAAGGGACCCTCCGCCAAAAACACCACAAGCGGGAACTCAAACCCGCAAGAACCTGGACCGAAAACCGAAGGATAAACCATGAATGAATGAAGAAAGACTCCGAGCGAGCGAGCTAGCTTAACTAATCGTTCGTTTGTTCGGCGACTCGTTTACAAGTAAGCAGTCGGGTAGGCGGTTGAAAAGGCAGGCGAGCAGACAGTCAGACACACCGGCTGGCATGTAGATAGACACATCTTTTTCAGTTTCGTATCTCTCATGACTTTGGAAATTCGTGCGGCGTCTGAGGTAACAATTGAGAGGATGAGAAGAAGAGGAACAGATGTTCAGTGATGGTCCCTCATTAACTCTTGACACCTCGATGGTTCGGATCACTGTCAGAATGCACGCCTCTTAATAATAATGGTGCTTGTGATGAGGCACATCGTATCTCAATCAGCTCTGCGGTCGGAGTCGGTGCTCCGATTGTACTGCAAACAACATAGGCGGAAAATTTAAAGATCCCGGCTATTGATGGCAAAAGCTCAATCGAGACGGATCCTCCGAAATTCCTGGAGGGAAGAGGGACCGAGAAAAAAGCACAATAAGGAAGTTCCGAAAGTTATCCCATATGGGTCCGTGACCACTCGAGAAAATCCTCTCGACATAGATGACTTATCAGAAATAGAAGTGTTCTCAGATACGAACAACGCGAGTGGACACGAGCGAGTTTATGATGTCGAAGTGCGTCGAGCGAAAATTATGAGCGCATACCCAAAGGTAGATCCAGCCATTCGTTGAATCGAGAAGACAGCGGAGAAGGAGACCGAGTGATGAGTCGGAAGACGAGCGAGATAAAATGAAGAGCAAGAACGTGCTCTTACGCTGGGAAGACGGACGCACGACATTCGGCGCCCGCTCTAACTGTCTAGCGAGTGCCCCAACGTTTTGGGGGCCCATCCATGACAGAACTGACAATAGGTGAGAAAGGAAGAAGACCGACCGACGACTTCTTTGGATCTCGTCAACGTGACAACCCATTATGGCATGTGAGTGGATTTGTTGGTCGCTGCGCGTGATGTGTCCGCCTGTGCGTGTCGCTTCAAAACACCGTGTCGCGCTCGGCGTTATTGTTTCGAGCGAACTTTGCATTGTGTCGCTTCCGACTGCTCCGATAGCGACTCCAACGGTGTTTACGGCCGATCACATAATCAGGAAGCGATGCGCTGGATTGGCTCTGATGAGAAGGATTGATTCGGACTCGATGATTCAGCAATTATAACTATTCAATGTCAGAGTGATAGTCAATCGATAGACTCGTGGACCTGCTCTGTCAAGACCAATCACAACAGAGAGCGTAGAGAAAGCGTGTCCGAATAGAAGAAAATCCCAGTCTGCTTCAAACTTCTATGACTCGCCCGGGAAGACTCTTCTGCAGCGGCGAAGATCCGTTCTCTGGTTGGTAGTCCTATCCGGCGATGTCGGACGAACATCATGTGGATGAACAGGGAACTTCGTCTCATTTTCCGGCATATCGCCTTGGTCTGCTCCTGGAAGTGTTGAGTCACACGGAGAAAGTCGAGAGAAGCCCTACCGTGGAAACTTCTTCACGGGAGCTTCAGGTGGATCTGCTCCCGGATTCAGAACGGCGCGAGACGACTAGATTTATATCCTCACGCCATCAGGTTCACAATGAGATGCGTTTTAAGCTGCGAAGACAGATAATGTTCAGATAAGCCGAATCGGGGGACTGAAAAGAGAGAAGAGTCCAATGAGGGATGGAAGACATGAATGAAACGATCCAAAAAGACGAAGAAAAATTCAGCGGTCGCGTTTTATCGGAGCGGAAGACTGCATAATAACAGATATCCGCAGTGTATCCGACCGACAGTCCGTATCTTCGGTGAGTTATGTATCGAATCAGGACACCTGACTGGTAGCGAGTCGCAAAGGGACCGAAAAGCGTTGCGTTCCGCGTTAAACGGCTATTAGCGGATTGGGTCGGATGCTCTATCCGAACACCTGCTCTAATAATATTTTTCACCATCATAACTCGGGTGCTCTTTCAGACTGATTTACAGCCGCGGTGCAGCGGTTTTCATGTTTCTTTGCGTCCCCTCTGCCGCCGCAGAGATATCGACGGAGCTCATTTTTCCTCAACATCCGTTTTTTTTTGTTTATTCGAGATACGCCGCCAAGGTTGGAACGGGATAACGTCTTCGATGAAAAACCTTTCAGCGAGGGGCTCGCTGCCCTCCGCGATATTGCACTGTAGAATTACGGCGAAGAATCGGATTCAGTCCTGTAATATACATCACAATTATCGCCTTTTCGTTCTGACGTTCTCACAGGTAACGCGTTCTCGCAACGAGCTCGTAGATGTTATGGCGTCGGACTCTGATGTGATCTGCTAGTAGGCTCTACAGCGACAGAGGTGGCGGGTCCCGAACGCACGTGAACCGCGGGCCTGGGAGGAATGGGCTGGGGCGAGTCGACGCTCCGGTCCACGCATCGTCATAATGCTTCATTTCAAACGTCGCGACCACACAAAGCGGGCTGGCTCAGATCAAAGCAATCGATTCGGGAGTCGGGCTCCTGATCATGGTTTTAAACGCAGGTTTTCCGGTACAGGATTCGATCACCAACCTTCTGAGAACCTTGTCATGTGTTCTGCGATCAACCCGCGACTGTCTTCCGGCACGGCGTCGGAATTAGGATTTCGATATGCACTGTTTATCTCGGAGTTCCGATGCTGGTTCGAATGAGCGATGCCGATAGAGGTCAGCGCTTCGTCGAATTCCTCGTTCCTCTCCGGAATCCGGCCTCTACCTCGATTCTGCCGGATCGCGGGGGAGTCAACTCTCAAACCTCGGAGAATCGAAATGCAGCCGCACTCAGGTGGAGCTCGTAGCGGGCTCTTATCAGCGAACTTTGATCACAGCGCATCGATTGGCAGCTCTCCCCGTGATATTTCTCCGACCTCACTCACGCACTGGCTCATTCCGCGACATGTTGATTCATGCACTGATACTTCCCGGCACGCATGCGTGCATGTAGCCAGCCATGTTCGGCATGATGGAGCGCTTTCTCCTGATTTTTTTCCTCTCGACGAATTCTATCAGCTAGCAGTGTTAGATAGATAGGCGGCGATGTAGTGTCGTTCATAAGAACGCGGAGTTCGGCTCAGGGCGTGGCAAGTACTGCTACACGGCCAGAACCGTGAGAGATTGAGATGCTGCGATCTGATCGCTGAGCGAAATCGTGAGACTGTGAGAGGCGGGGCAATAGTTTTTCTCCCTTCTGTTCTGGTGTAAAACCCACCTCGAGCCTCATTGACTATCGTATTTTGTTTGCGGGTCCTCGCTCGTAAACAGTCATCCGTTCCTGAGGATTTTCGGGGATCGAGCCCACGCGCATCAGGCCCCAAATTTGCGCTTGAAACCGCGACCCGGACTTCCCGGGACGCCCGACTTTCACCACGGTCCTGAGCGTGCTTTTTCAGCGGCGCGCCTTGAAGTCCTAGCGCGCAATGATCCTGATCCGGATCGATATTCAAGGCCGACAGCGTGAACGGCTCTTCGCAGAAGTGTCGAGCGAAGATGAGCCCTCCGAAGCATTCATGCTGGACGTTGTCACCGTGCCGCCTGCGCGGAGCTGACCGAGCGGGTATGTCCCACGATCGGTCGGTTCTACGGAACATCACGTCGACGTGGGGGAACGGCGACAGAGAATGAAGCAGAACATTGTAAGAGATAGTCGAAGACCCTACACGATGATGGCCGGTCAATGCTCATGGTCCGAAAGTTTTTTATGCCCCTCTTCCGCCGCGTCCCCTCGGCGAAGGGGGCGTTTCTATTACATGAAGACGATTTCAACCACGAACACGGCTGAACCCGTGAGCGCCGGCTGAGCAAAACTCGGCTAAGACCCGAGAGGGGGAACTTTCGGGAAAACATGGGACGAAGCAGAGTTCCTCTGATCAGGGGGAGGAAATACAACCGGAGTCTCAGGTCGACTCCGTTTCCGAATTTCTCACGGCTCCGCGGAATCACCGGTCCTCCCATGCCGTTGAACGGCGGAGATTCTCGATTTTCCGAGCTGTACAGGAGAGGGACGGCGAGACTTGTTGTGAACATTCCGTGGATAAGAATTTTCTGCAAAATATTCCCGAAATGCGTGAAACCGCAGCTGAGGGAGCTAATGCTCACCTTGGAATACGGTGCGAAAGGTCTCGCGCGAAAAAATGTTGCGCGGTAGCAAGAAGCGTAGAGATTTCCTGCAAAATACACTTAGTGGGCCGGGAAGATGAATGAGCTCGTCGCAGGCTTGAGTAGATGGATCAGGAGACGGTGTTACGTGAAAATTTTGGCGGAACGACCGGCGTGCGCCGGTAGAATCTGTGTGCGTTGTCGATCATTGTGAGCGGAGAACAAAATCGAGTTTTAGAGAGGGGGACTTTGGGTGCTGCACGGAAACGATGAGTTAGCGGGTTTTACATCGCACCGTCATCAACAGCTCTCGGTAGCTGACGGACGAATGAACGGACCGACGGACGGACGGACTGACTGACTGAAAAACACACTGACTGACTGACTAGCCAACGGGCCGCATAGGCGAGCGACACGCGATTGGATGAGCGATGTTGTACAAGCAGAGCAAGATAGAGTGCCGTGCCGACCACCTTGAGGGACCATTCAGCACACATGCAATACGAGGTGTTACGCGCCCGTGATCGGATCAGCTCGTGAGCTGATCCGCTCGCTTTTGAGCGACCGAGCTCGCCGGCTGGCTACCAAACTCGGTCCTCTTGGCTTAACGTGGCGCCAGCAGCGGACCACCTCCACCGAAATCATTGACATAAATTCCTTTTGCGCATCTCAAAGACAACAGGAATCTCATCGTCATGCACAGCGGAGGACCGGCTTCGTTTGAAGTCGAGGGCTGTTGAAACTGTTGAAGTCGTTTTGCTGAGCCCGCTGCGGCTCGTACGAGTCGGCAGACACTTGAGCAACTTGATCGGAGGCAAGCGGCGAGGAAACTCTCAAGCAATGCACGGCATCATGAATCTTTTTTCTCTTGATTTCGTTCTCCTCGGATCTCACAGAC